CAGAAGCCTGATAACGATCCTGATCATTTGAATCAGGTGTGTTGGAAGAGGGAAACATCTAAAACATGCAGGACTGTGGCCCTCCAGGACCAGGACTGGACCCCTCTGATACTGTGCAAATAAACCTGCCTTGCCTTTGTTGGAACAACACATATGTCTTACAATACGTGTAACTTTTAGGTGTTGTGTTTTTATATTTGACTTGGTGTGGTCCTGACACTTCATTTCTAGTGTGCCATCCACAACTGTCCCCATGGCAACAACATCCAGTCGTCGCTACGTCACTCCGGCGCTCTCCATTGTCCACACACGTACCATGCTGCTAACAGGAGCTCTGCCTCTGTCCTTGAAGTAAACACCAGCAACAAAGTGAGTGTTCCGTTCTGCGGTGTCTTTCTCCTCTAACATTCATAACGGGTTTGTTGTGCGTTTACCGGCTCGTCCATTCGGTCACTGTTTACAGGCGCGACCCGAGGCTAGCTAGCAGCTAACCCGCTAAGCTAGCCCGGCTATGCTTTGTGTCTAGCAGCTGGCCTTGCTAATAATGCTATGTTGACAGGTTTTAGGCTCAGTTTTGCATTTTACCTGGTGTGTTGTTGTCAGTGTGACCACAAACCTGCCCTCTACTGTTACTGTCACACCTTTATCCGCGTTAAACGGATTTAAGGGTTTGAATAACTCTGCTATGGTTGGACTGAATGAGCTAATGCTAACCGACGTTAGCTTTCTAGCTTGGTAGACAGGAACGTGTACTTACCCGCAGTAAATGTGTCACGGAGCTCGTTTTACGGCTGGACTGTGAACATTAAAGCTCATTTAAGAGAGTTTATGTGGTTTAAGGGACTTTGTATGGTTTTCTTTTTGCCGGAAGACCCAGACTTGCGGCGCAGTGGTGCTCTTTGTTTGCTAACAGTGTGCTAACAGCGAAGCGGTCCTGTTCTGAACACTGGTCCAAACTCCAGCACCACAGCAGCTTCAGGGTTAGATGCATTTAAACCGTCTGTAAGTGGTTCTGCAGAGTTTAGCCGGACTGAGCTGTGAATACCTTTATAAAGTGCATTAAAGTTAATAGCATCAGTATGTGCTTGACAACGAAACAGCTGCAATACAATAAAAGTAAATAATAATAAATCCTGCATCCAAGCTCTTCCTTAATGGTGTTTCTATTTTAGTTTCAGATTCTTTCAGCATTCAGTGCAGCTTTGTTGTTTTTAACAAGTCACCCTAATAAGCAAACCGGCGTTAGTCTTGTTAAACAGCTCATAGCACATTTCTATTTACTGCTGTATTAAAACCAGAAGCTCCAATGTTCAGGACGAGTAATATTCTCACATGTCCTCTTTGGAATGGGTGTAATAGATTACTTCTAATATTCACAACAAATAAATCTTTGGTCCAGGACATGTCCTGAAGCTTTTATACTGAAATGACATCAACTATTTCCATTTCACTTTAACTTTATAAAGCCAGCCGCAGTCACAGCTAATGAAACTCCTTGCAGATGATCACACACCTTGTGGTGAAGCTCTGATAAGGCTCTAAAATAATGTGTTGAGGCGTCCTGTAGTTCCAGATGATGATGAAACCTGCTCCCACAGCGATCGGCTGCTCATCAAACACGATGAATTCATCCTGTTTCTGATGTTTTTCGGCCTCGTCGCTGTCTCAAGATAATTTACTTTATTTTTATAGACTCTCTTGTCCTGACTTCCTGACTGTATTCACTCAGTGTTCTGCTGAATGTTTACTTCTCGGTGGACGTGGGTTTGTGCTCAATAAAGCTGATACTGATCAGTTAAACAATGCCGTGATCGGCCCTGATAACAGTCTGTCAGGTCAGATAAAGATCCCGAAACAAAAACCTAAAAGTCTGAGACAACAGTTGAGGTAAAGACGGCAGAGTTACCTCAACTGACCTGCCACAGAAACTGCATGTGTCTGTAAAATAAAGCACTTTTGTTCTACAAACAGAGAACATACAGCCAAGACTCAGTGTTTGGACCATAAAGTATTGTGTTTCTTCTTCAAGCTCTGTGCATCAGTTCATCTAAGGCTGGACATCATCTTGGATTTCATCAATACTGACTGAAGTCTGCTGCAGGTGTGGAACTTTGAACACATGATGCCGAAACTGAGGAGCTCAGAAGCAACTGAACATGTGGTTAGTTGTGGCTTGTTGCTGCTTGTTGTGGTTGGTAGACAGCTGTGGAGAGCTGATGGAGAGCTGATGTAGAGCTGATGGAGGGCTGATGGAGAGTTGATGTAGAGCTGATGGAGAGCCGATGGAGAGCTGATAGAGAGCTGTCGTTGAGCTGTGGTGAACTGAAGTCCAGGAGTCTGTCAGAATAAGGAACCAGGACTTCATAAGTAAAGTCAGTAATATCTGCCCAGAAACACTGGTGGCAAAGCAGCTGACACATTATGTTAGCACGGGACTTCTTCTGTGCTCAGTGTTTGTGTTGCAGGAAATGCGATGTGAAGTCTGTATGATAAAAGATACGTGAATGTGATTTAAAGGTTCTTGGTCACACTGATGTTTTTCTGCATGTATTACCTGGACAGAGTTGGTTGAAGTGCAAGCTCCTGATATGACACGGAACCAGAGAGAGACGCTGAACAGGAAGCTCTGGCTGCAGAAAACACAAGTAGTGGAACATTAGTATAACTTTGGCCTTCTGTAATTAAATGAACAAGATTAACTGCAATGTTGAAAACAGCCCCTGTAGATACAATCACTCACATCATCACCTGACATTAGAATACCTCACCACTGCAGTAACTGGGTGGACTGGAGGCTTCTCTGTCTGACTGGTGTCTATCTGGTGTCTATCTGGTGTCTATCTGGTGTCCATCTGGTGTC